CTGCTATACTGGCCCCTTCCCATCCAAAAAGCATATTTCAGCAGGTCCCCAATGTGTCGCTCTTTAAAACATGCTAGTTAGAGATTGGGGTCTTTCTCTTCTCACTCCCCCCCCCTTACTTCCTTTTCACGTGATATAATACCTCATAACACACACTGGGAGGTTTAACTTTCTTGAAATAGTATTATACTCTAGTAACCTCATCAGTTAGAGATATGACTGGTTACATCTGCTACACAAGAGAAGATCATATTTAAAAAAACGGACAATATTCATATGATAAAAACTTATGGGGTCTACAGCAGCCTGAAAATAAAATAATAAACATATATATATATATATATATATATATATATATATATATATATATAGACATTCTAATCAAAATACCAGTCCAGTATATATATATATATATATACATATTGTTATCCTACTTCTTCCAACACATTTAATTTATCAGTCCTGGTGTCGAGAGTGATGCACAGTTCTAGTTATCGCACAGCTGGTTTCTTCGTCAATTGCATTAGTAATTGTAGAAGAGTTAAAAAAAACCAATGGTGTTCAATATGTTTAACTAAATATATGCATATATATGATGGATACGTCTTAAGCACTATAGAAGGACACACACACACACACGCACACACACAACTGTTCACTTAATAAATACTAACCGGGTTGACGGCAGTCTGGGAAATTAAATATTAAACGGATTAACATACTTTAATCTACGTGGATACGCAATGATAAAGAATGATACTCATAATTAAATCTTCCTGTGTGCATACACACATTTGTGCAACTATACAAGAATAGGCCAGTCACGTGTAGCTCATGAAACACACGTAATACTACCAAAGCGTCAATTAATGCTAATGAAATTAGATCACATACGGCATACAACTTATATGTGACCTTTCCTTAGGAGATACAGGTGTCCTCTTTTTTATTTCCCCTTCTCTGCTTTCGCTCCCAATGTGGTCCTAGAAATTTCCAACTCTTATTCCAATTTGATAAACAAAAATTTCAAACTTCGTCCTCCTTGAGCCGCCCGAGGACCTGCTATATTGGGGACTGGTTCTTTGCTGTCTTATATGAATTTTGTTTGTTTGTGGCAAACCAGTTTCGCCTAAGTTTCGTTTCTCTGCTTCAGTTATGTCAGCGTAGTCTGGCTTGGAGGGTTTGATTGGTTGTTTCCAGTTTTTGAAGTGGATCTGGCTGCCCAGAAAAGGACTGTCATTTTTGCCTGGGGCGGCATGGAATGGGAATGAGGGGGAAATAGGGGGATCTTCTGTGGGTCAGATGCTAGCGTTTTCTGCTTAGGGCTTCTTCTGCTGGTACATCTGGTCGGCGAGCTGGCTTCAAGGCTGTCTGGCTTGTCGGATTTGGCGGCTTTTGGTTGGCTTCCTGTGTTCTGGGAAGGGAGTCTGCTAGTCCTGAAAAAGAGTTTGCAATTTGCAAATTGGGCGGCACGGTCCTAGAAAAGATGTCTTAGGGTTTATATCTAGGCAACAATGATATTGTTGACTTTGGCCAGACACACTTAATTGCAGCAAAAACTTTAGTAGTCACATTTTACCACATATTCATCAGGGGAATATGTTTGAATCCAACACATGAGACAGATGTCCAATTGATCACTTATTTGGAGGTTGAATGGACTATTAGAGTTTAGCTTTATTGAACTGCCACCCAGGATAGGTTATGCCTCACAAGAGTTTCAAACCTTCACGTTTCAGCCCACATGGGGGGAGGGGGGAAGTCACACAGAAAGCGTTGACGCTTGGTAACTTGTCTGCTATCTTAAACCCTCAAATGTAAGATCTTTCACTCTGGAGACGAGCATATTAAATAAAGGCAATATTTACACAGATTCGCTGGCATTTTCTGAAAAGGCAAAATAAATCAATATTTGTTAGCAATTTCTATGGACAATATTTATATTAAAGATTGTAATTCATATTTCATTCAAGAATACATAGTCCGCTACATACTGGGTTGAATGGGTCTTGTCTGAAACAAGCTAAAAATTAAAACGTTCAAGAAGTATATTCTTAGTCACACTGGGAAAATTTATAATTTATGCTAAGATCATCGAAAAATAAAGCTAGACCATTGATAGAATATCAACTTTCAGAAGCACAGATTGGCTTTCGACGAAACAGAGGTTGCACAGATGCCATTTATACATTGAGACACCTATTAAAGAGGGCAATATAACATGATAAGACATGTTTGTTGACATTCAGAGACCAAGAAAAAGTCTTTGATAGAGTCGACAGGAATATGTTGTGGGGATGTATGGGAAAAAAAGGAATCAGCAATCATCTCATTAGTATTTGCGAAATATTGTACGCTCGAAGTAAATGCTGCATAAGATCGAAGGCAGGTCAAGAACTTTTATAGTGAACTCTGGTGTGCGTCAGGGTTGTGTGCTGATGCCGCTTAGTAACAAAGGGGAGGAATATAATATGAAAATAAATACACGACAATGCCCTTAAGTGTGTTCATAACAACAAACGACAATGCACTTAATTGATTCACAACATAACACGACATTGTGTTCACGTGTGTCCCCCCCCCCCCCCCCCCCCCCCCCCCCCCTTCTTCCAAAAAAAAAAAAAAAAAACATGACATTGTCTTTAAGTATGTTCAAGACAAAAATTAGTACAATGATGTTGAAAATGTTCACAACAAAACACGACATTGCCTGTAAGTGTTTTTTTTTTTACAAAATATGACATCGCCTTTAACGTTTTTAAAAACAATACATGACAATGCATTTAAGTGCGTTCGATACAACACGTGGCAAAGTCTTTAAGTGTGTTCACAACAACACACGACAATGCATTTAAGTAGGTTCAAGACGAAAAACGACAATGCCTCTAAGTGCGTTTTCAACAACGCACGGTAATGCCTTTAAGTGTGGTTCACGACAAAATGCTAGAGTGCCGGTATGCAAAATAGACGCGTATGTATTTCGTAATACAATGTGCATAATGCTTGTATATTACGTTCCTCGTGTAAAATACAGGTGTATGTTTTTCGTAAAACCATGTACAAGGTGTCTGTATGCTAAGTATCTAGGTGTTCTAGCAATTGGAAAACTCAAAGTTTAGGTCAGCATTCAATAATGAAGTTACTTTTAAAGCCTTCACCAATAAACAAAATATAAATGCATTTGAAATCAGAGCCTTCACCAATAAACAAAAATATAAATGCATTTGAAATCGGAGTGATCGATGATATTTTGTATTGAAATCGAATATATTGGCCCAACCACACAGATATGGCAAACTAAATGAAAACCACAACACGAGGTCCCCAACACCCTAATAAGGGCGAACGTAGGTGAAAACAAAGAAACTATTGCTGAATCCATCCCGATGAAATTATATATGTAATAAACATATGACTGTTAAATCTTTTTATCGTTAGTGACCTCTATTATCTTACTACAGCACAGACTACTGATAACAGCAACAAGTAGGGACAGTTTCTTCGGTCTCATGATTGTGATTAGACATAACCATTTCGAAAGACTTACACAATCATTGTCGTCACTCAGTACTTGCATTATAAATACGTGCATCCTTAGAGAATCAAACATTCAGTTACACGTCAACTTACTGGGTTCTGAAACATACAGCAGTCAGAACTCGTGAAACCGACATAGATTAATTAGGTAAGAACCGTCTGTGTACTTGCACATTTCCTGCTTTGCATTAGTGAATTTTTAAGTAATTTTGTTTTTCCTAAATATAATAGTACAGGTCAGTTTTGACCGTTCGTTTTTGAATTAACATCACAGCACTGGGGGCATTACTATGCATGTTATGTCCTCATCTTCAGCAGCCAGTGCATAGTTCCAATCCTGATAATACTGGTCACAATCTGGTTAAATGTCCGTCTTGTCTTTCCTCTGATTGTGGTGAGCCTCATTCTCTCAAGGCAATAATAATCTTCAGTCTCTACTAATTACGTTGCTTGTTCCAAAGGGTCTTAACCACATCTGCCTTGTCATGTATCAATTCACCACCCAGTGGTGCAGATCCAGCTAGTCTGTCTGTCTGCTCATTAACTGTTTGTATTTGTATTATTCATTCATTGCCATAATATATCGAAGTATTATAGACCTTCACCCTGTATTCCGTCACATACTCAGCAATTTGTTTCGTGTTTGACATCAAGTCCAACAACTGTAGCCTGTCTCTTCCATATTCGACTACTGGTTTCCCATGATCGTCCTTTTCGTTTTCAACCCATCTATTTCATATAACAGTATCTGTTTTGCGATTCTTTGTCTGCTTCGTTTCAAAATTCAGCAGTTATATTGTCAATCTCTTTAATTTACAATTGTTGTTAGTATTTGTGAAACTTTTTAGCCATTCTTGAATTAATTTAATATTGGTTTTTTGCTTTCGAATAACTTTATCTTCCGTTATCAAAAAGCTCTATCTCTTCTCTATCCCTTTTCTCTCTCTCTCTCTCTCTCTCTCTCTCTCTGTGTGTGTGTGTGTCAGTATGTAAATTCACACACACAGTATTATATATATATATATATATATATATATATATTAATATATATATAAATATATATACACACCCGCCCACACACATATGCTTGTGTGTAAACGTATATTAGCTATTTATACATACAAATAATAATACGGTCTTTATAATGACAACACACCAGTATATAGCCGTCAGACTAGAAAACAATGGTTTAGGCATACTAACACAAGATAGCGCGATACTATACGTATTGTTGTTTTCGTTTCTCACACTTTTTTCTGGTCACCCATTGACACAAAAGTGTTTGTTTGACATAACGTAAGTTTTTGACCGATCGATCCATAACTGAAAGCCCAGAATAGGACAAATGTACTCTACAGATGGCACCAGTTACATCATAGTTACTAACAGTTTAATTATTCTACTAACATAATCCCGTCCTGTCTGCAATTTAAGATATTTTCCTCAGGTAATTTACTCACATCATGGGCAAAGTGAAGTCCTGCTCCATTGTCCTGACAGATCCCTGGCAAGTGTACAGACCCGGGGATTCTGTCAGCGGGATCACCACCCTGGAAATCGATGGTCAGATAAAAGTCCGGAAAATTCGAGTCGTCTGCAAAGGTCAGGCATTGACCAAATGGGAGAGATTTATGAAGAGAGGGTTCGAAAGTGATTACGAGAGCACAGAGGTGTATTGTAACACGTACATGGATGTCTACACAGCTAACAGTAAGTACATTCATTCATATTAGTGAATCTTTCAAACAATAATTTTCAACAAATATATATATATATATATATATATCAGTCAGGACATTTACGTAAACACCCTGTCCCCATCCTAGTGAATGAGGAGAATAAATTAAAAACAAAGGTAGTGCAACGGATTTTTACCATGATATCCAGGCGCATGACAAATTAGAATGGAAGACTAGTGATATGTGTATGTCAGTCTATATATCCATAAATAAATGCATAATATATGGGGGGGAAAGGGGGAGGGGGGGGGGCTTTTTGCATGCACAGACTGAACTTCGCAGATTGTGAGGATGAAATCTCTTGTTGGTTCAATGGACATGAAGGCGATTACCAGCAGGCTCTGTGGAGAGCTTTGAGCAAGGCAGGTCAACCACCGCACCTAGGTCCATTTCCAATTGTCTCCACATTGTCTTACCATTGGATCATGACTGCATAGGCGACAGAGTGAGATCTACGATTTGCGCATCTTACTCACTTAAATGCAAGTCCTTGCGAAAGTAACTTTCATCCAGCTATCAAGAAAAGAAAAAAAAAGAAACAGACACACACACACACAATATATATATATATATATATATATATATATATATATATATATATATATATATATATATATACATTTATATATATATATATATATATATATATATATATATATATATATATATATATAAATTTGGACAAAAAGCGACTGCAGGAGATCCCCTCCTTGGCACAACGCTCATTTTCCTGCCATCACTGTCAAAGAACTTTTCGGGGGACCCATCGGCCTCATCTTCGCACTCATACTTGATGAAAAAGAGTGGTCATCATCATCTTGATGGACAGCACACACACACACACACAAACACACACATCATATATATATATATATATATATATATATATATATATATATATATATATATATATATATATATATATACATGAATGTATATATTCTACGTACTAGAGAAAAAAAAAACTTAGACAACTAATTGGTTTCTTCTCACTAATGGCTGTGTAATTTGACATTTCTACCCAATAAAAAAAATGTTCATATATTTATCCTACCTCATGTGTCCACATCAGCTGCAGATTTAATGCCAACTGGAATGTACAAGTACAAATTCTCCTTCAAGCTGCCCAGGGAAGGCATACCTTCATCGTTTGAGGGCTCTATGGGCGCTATCAGGTATTGGATTACTGTGGAGGTTGACAAGCCGTTTCTGAGTTTTAACGACAAGTTCTACAAATCGTTTACTGTCCTAGCAAATATTGATCTAAATGAGGCTGTCTACAGGGTAAGTTCATGTTTGTCTCCTGCATCTCCTTTCCTTCAGTCTTCTCCGTCTACGTAGTCTTTTCTTAGCTATCGTCTTTTACTTCTTCATTTGATTGATTGGATGGGCATTTTTCCGTCTTTCCAGACGATAGTGTTATTTTGTGCTATGAGGAGGCATGAGATTCACAGCCCTTTGCTATATTAGCAAGACCCGCCCGTGTCAAGACCAGTCTTATTGGCTGGGAGCTGCCCAGCTTGAGGCGGGCGGTAGTTGATCAGTGACATTCTAAGATATCTCCCACCGTCAGAGGCAACTCGTGGCGCCCTCGTCTACGCCAACTGACAAGGACTTATATCCTGTAACTGCTGCCTCTCGATTTGTTTCCGAGAGCGATTAAGGTCAGGGATGAAGTTCCTCCTCTCCATAGCACAACGCCTGAGCAGCATTGTAAAAATCAAATGTTGCCCATGCATAATGATGCCTCTTTCGACCTGCCTTGTTTACTCCAACGGAAAGGTGAAACCAGTACGTTTGGAATGAGTTAGGTTGCAGAAGCTGCCAGATCAGAAGAACAGTGATCTTTCTGTCCGTCTGTCAAAGCTTCCATCCTAGTCTTTTGTGAGATTCTCTGTGGTGTAGTGGCTAGACGCTCGCTTACGGATCGGAATGTCCTGGGTTGGGTGTCATGAAAGAGAGGGACTTAATTTGAAAAATGAGATTGACGCCCGGTTGTACCCAGCCTCGGTGAAGTCCTGGGAAGTAAAGGCCTCTTGTGAAATGCTGGCCACATTATATACTAAGTGCTAATTAGTCTTCTATGTGTAAGTCGTTCTGTGTGCCTAATACATCTGAATGCGTGGAAAAGAGTCCTTTTCTTTCTCGTATCTTGTGCCTGAAGGCATGCAAAGGAGTCCTTTACTTTTTGCACTACTCGTCTTTTGTGAAATATTTACGCAGTTAATCTTGGGTTACATTTTGTGAGTAACCACAGGCGGAACTCTGCTCTGCGCTAAGCCACTACTTGTGGTTTTTTACGCTTAAGATTGTCAAAGGATGTGATGATATGTGGCATTAATTATGTCAATATCAGGCAGCTCACTGAGCGTTTATTCATTACTCGGTATACGTGGTATATATACATATTAGCTAACTATCTTATTCTTCAGTTAGAGCATTGTATGCGGACAAGTAATCAAAGGCATACTGGTACCATCAGAGCTGAATTTCAGGCTGGCTGTTGAAGATGAGGACCAAGTGTTTATATGAATGTCCAGAGTAATGTGATGCCAGTTTTTAACTAAAATGAACTTAGTTCAGTTTCCATTCTGTGGTTACGATAATCCTGTCCGCACCAATAGTTACTTCAACTCACCCTGTCTTGTATACTTCCTTCATGATTACTTGGGGCAGAAGAGTTATGAATTTATGACTTTAGAGAGAGCTTTTGATTTAATAAAGAAAATAAAAAAAACTTAAATGTGTCTCGCACTCACAATAATATTACCCTTATCGTGTTCTATTTCAATATTGTTTTTAAGAATATCAAGAGTGTATTGCACCTGCAATCACGGTGCAGTCGAACATGTTATAATGACAGTGCACGGATTGTGGCACGACATTCGACATGCAGAGGAGCTGTGTTATAACAATAATTATCATTATTATTATTTTAAAAAATCAGTAAAGGGGTGAAGCCTATATAAATACATCGGTTAATGAAGACATGGTAAGCTGCCTAAAGAATGTAACTGAAAGAGTTAAGGTGTTTGCTCGATTCTGTTTTGAATTACTATACCGCCAACACCTAACCTCCTCTACCCATTGATTCTGAAGTAGTGAATTAGTGGTCACGGTTTGCATTCAAAGCCACCATTAAAGCAGGTTACGGAATCTACATAGGTTACCCTGATGGATCTATTGAAGAGATATTTGATGCATGCGGGGAATTCTGCTCAAATTATGAAGCTGAAATAATAGCACTGGAAACAGCAGATACCACCTAAAGACTGTAATGGATGTTTATCCTTTAAAGGCCCAAAATATTGTCATCTTCACCGATTTAATGTCTGCTCTTCAAGCTTTGGAGGGCAGTGAACGCTGCAGAACTGATATGGCTAAGATAATTCTAGATGCTGATCAGCTCATTACCTCAAACAACATCAGAATAGTGATGCAGTGGATCCCAGGCCACTCCGATACACCAGGTAATGACAGAACTGACAGACTGGCAAAGAAAGGAGCAACACAAGAACAACCACCTACAACGACAACCCTACATACAGCAAAAACACTTATAAAAGCTATAAACAAAGAGACTTGGCTAAACAGACATGCCATGGGAGATACTGGAAGAGAGCTTTATAGACACATGGCTAGACCTGATCCTAATGACAGCATTAACCATTTAACAAAAAGGGACCAGGCCACCATCTTCAGACTCAGAACACAACATACTCTCCTCAATGGACACCTAAACAGAATGAAGCCACACCACTCCCCAGAATGCCAGCTATGTAACTACCCCTACGAAACTGTTTACCATCATCTCTTTGAGTGCCCAAAACTCAACGAGACTAGAAGAATGCTACTCCCTCAGAGACCAGCCAAGAGGAACACCTTGTACGGAGGAATAGAACAGCTTGTGAAAACATGTAAATTCCACTACATGGCATTGGGCCAAAGGGCGAAAGCTCATGCGCCGTTGGATCAATAACAACAACAACAGTGGTCACGGTTTCTCAGATATCCATGAAAAAGCATGTTCTTGCTGGTCAAGTGTTTTAAGTAACGATCAACTCAGAGTTCCATTATACAACAATAGGAGTGTTTCCAAATCAGATGATGGTTTACCGGACGCCTGCTTACTGTTTTTAGTCGTCGCCACATATTCTATCTTCTACGACAGTTGGTAGTCGTTGCATTTTTCTCGACACTGTGAGCTGTGGTTTTCATTTGGAATGCTTTTCGGCTGTCCCCAAAATTGTGTTGTGACCTGTAGATTCATAAAATTGTGATTGGACTGTTGACACTGGAAGTGTAGTATGCGAATAATTGCGTGTGCAAATACTGTTGTAATTACTGCCTCCATCGACGAGGACCTGCATTTCCCGTGAAGTACTATCTGTGTTGGGACTTCTGACGGTTGTCTTAAGCACTAATATGTGTGCATGCTATTGACTTAGCTAACCGGAGCTACAAGTGATAAACCTGGTACTGCGATCACCCAATGATTAACAATCTAACCTGACTTTATATTGAAGAAGCCTGACATTGTTAACTGGACATGTCTAGGAATACACTACCAATCCAGTCGAAATAATATTTCTTATCAAAACATAACAATGTGCCTAGTTGGTCCACCGTTCTTATTCGCATAGTTTACTCTCGGTATATCCTCATCGAGTCGAGCTGCAAATGTACCTTGACTGCCGTGTCGACCCAGCCCAAACTGGAAACGGGGTAAAGTCTGGGAAGTAAAGGCACTCTAAGGGATGTCGACCACATCACCCGCCGAAAACCGATTATTCAAATAAATTATGAGTCCAGCCTCATTTACCCAATGTACTACTGACGTTTAAAAAGGCTCCTTGTTTTAGTAACCGTAACTGTCGTTATATTGATACTGTATCGCATTCTGTACATTCACAGAGACCTGGGCGTGCCTCAGCGCAGAAACCCTTGTCTAAAGCTCTAGGAATAGGGCATGCTGGGACTTTAACCGCTAGCCTCTCTCTGGACCGATTAGGATATTGTCCTGGAGAACAGGTAAAACGCTTTACTTTAACAGGCACGTGCAAAATAAGGTTGTGGTTCTTTTCATTATTCCCGGGTGTTTAACATCAGCTAAGCTAAACATTCAGTCTATTCTGGATCACAAACACGACAGTGCACCTGAAGTCACCGCCGGTCTCCCACAGTTTCTCTTCGATGCAGCGCCATTGATCTAGATCAATAACCTCAGCCTGTGATAGTTAGGGCAATCCTGCAGGGTGTGGTCACGGTACGTCAGTGTCTTTAATAGAGAACATACTATTTGTTTTTAATGCAGAAATGACAAACGAAACCTAAAAAAAAAAAATGACAAGAATGAAAAATAAATAAATGATCCAGATGTGTATTCAAGAGGTGGCATTAATACTTAGCTATCTAGCAAATGTAATGAAATTATCTTTGCGGACAACGAACCTTCAAATAGTGTACCACAAACGGCCCTGACATTTAGAACAGAAGCAGGTCGACCCTACAAGTAATGGATAGATGCAGTATCTGAGACAAGGCTAGCACCCCACGCTTCTTTGAAACCTGCAACTGAAACAAATCGAACAGAAGAATGACAACTAAAAGAAAGGGTAATATCTTCTAAGTGTTTTTAAGAAGCATTGTCTTGAAGTTTAAGATGACCAGTGCTCAATTTTATGAACTGAAAACAACTCCTCCAGCTGAAAATATAAAGTAGTTATTGTTATTTTCTAAAAGTGCAGCTGCAGTTGCTCCTCTTGTTGATCAGGTGACCCGCTTATCATCAATTAGGCGATTTATGACTCCATTATAAACTTCGTTACACAAATTTTGTCACCGCTCTGTTGAATAGCCGGCACTTCATTGGCTGAGTCATGTATTTTCAAAGCACCGTTTTTACGCATAATGCATCTGGCATATGATGCTAAACACATCTTTATAGATAAGTGACCTCTCGATTGCTGACATCATCAAGGACATGCCATACACCGTTTCTACCCACGACATGCTATGGCACATAGTTTGGGTATACCTGGGAGTCAAAATGATGTTTAAATCTGCCCGACACTGATTCGAACACGAGACGTTCTGGTCCACAGAACGAGTGTCTAGCATTGTGCTACTGTCCAAAAAATGAACATATGTACATTTATCCATCTATATTACCTATTTTACAATTATAAAATATTCATTTAGTTGATGTCACATCAATTTATTGTACATTTTCAGATCTGCATCAATCTTGAAGCAAAGAACGAAAGTACCAAAGATCTAGGCCTGGTGAAAGCTTCCTTAGTTCAGTTGGTCAACTACAAGGCCGCTGAGTCGACAGAATCCACGACTCGTATTATTAGAACAGTCCAGAGTGACAAACTAGGTATATCAGTATATTTATATTGTACTTTTTATAGATGTTTTAAATCTAATTATTACATATAAACACAGAGAAAGAGAGAGAGAAAGAGAGGGAGAGAAAAGAAATGGAGAGCGAGAGAAATAAAGAGAGAGAGAGAGAGAGATAAAAAGTGAGAGAGGTACAAGTAATTGATCCTTTTTACCAGAGTAACAGAGTGGGTATATAATGCTGGTCACAAACATCATTAGACCAAACAAGATTCAGTGGTTAATATGATCAAAATAACGCCAGCCGTTTATGTCCTTTGAAATGTCCTGGTACCTACTTAAGGTTGGTTCGATACGGAAGCCTAGGGCATGTTTGTTTCCACCTTCGTTCCGGTGTGAATTTGAACCGAACTTTGAACCCAAGACTTTGAAGCCGGTGTAAATTGTCTAGTCACTACATGCTGCGGCTCTTCAAGAATGAATGAATGAGAGAGAGAGAGAGAGAGAGAGAGAGAGAGAGAGAGAGAGAGAGATGTGTAAATAGATACTGGACAAAATCTATTTGATTTTATGCTCAGGTGAAATCGTTTCTGAATTCACACTTAATTTGGAGGGGGGAGGGGGGGGGGGGGGGGGGGGGGGGGGGGGGTGGGGGGGGGAGGGTCTGCTTTGGTCATGGTGTTCGCCTCGAGTGCTAGAGATTCAGAGTTCAGTCCCCGGGCTGTTATTTTTTTCACTTGGATTTGGACTTCTAGTAATTCCAGCTGGTCTCTGCGTATTGAGATCGACGCCCGTGTGCATTGTTGCGTACGTAAAAAATCCCATGGCAGAAATCGAAAAGAGTAGCCAAACGGCGCTGCCAGTGCAAAATATTGAGCTAAAAATCTACTCAAAATGTTTCAGGATTCTCGCCGGTGCTACATAGCCTGTGCACTGTGCAGAGCTTCTTTAGACTCAGACTTGGGTTAGAAGAAGTATTGAGCACTTATGGGTTACTACCAGTGTGTCATGATGTTGATCCGTTGTTCAAACCGTTAAACCTTCAAACGTCATTACAAAATTATAAATGCATGTTTACAATGTAGAAATAATTTGTCGGCAATTCACGTTTGCAGTTGATCGATAGATCTGCCTGATCTCCCAGCGCTGCTAGATAAGGGTTTACCATACCGTCCTAAGATGGACATCTAATTTTGAACGGACTAACAACAAGGTTAATCCTAGATACTCCGTTTAACCTACAGCGCATTTATAAATAGGGCACTCTAACGACTACACTGGTCAGGTGTAACCTGCAATCCCTTTCCGGTAAGAGCCTGACGTTTTGCAAAAGTTTTCTCCTACTGGCTGTTTAAGCATCCATAACAACCTGAATGCAAATATTTGATTTTGCCTAAGCGTGTTCAGTTTGTATAGTTTCTTAGAAATATTCTACGTTAACACGTTAACGATTCTGTAGAACAGTTCGCACACAGTTTAAATTATAATTCCGAATTGTTGTACATGTGACACAGGCAAAGGAGAGTCTGTGACGTGGACTGATCAATTGATGCCCGTGGGTTTAGTTCCTCCAAGTAGCAAACATTTAACCTGTCACATAATCCAGGTTAGTGTGTATATTAGTTAACTCTTTCAGTGTCAAGAAACTCACCATACTCTCCTGTGTAACACTCAATAACATAAGTATAACCTAGAAAGCTTTACACACATACATTTACTTGTCATATCCCATTCTTCTGCGCTGTTAACCCTTTATTTATCAGTTATTACTATAACGTGTCACCGAATCTGAATATTTCAGCTCTATAAACTAAACAAGTGTTGCTCTAGAATACAAATACTTGAGCAAAGACTTTTGAAATCCTGCACCAAATGGCACGGAAAGAGTGCATTGCATGCTGTAATGATCTGGTCGAGCTACACGCGGATACGCGCGCTCACGCACACACACAAACGCAAAATACGTACAACAATCGCAATTTGACACACACACCCACACAGACACCTATAGACATACGCAAATTGGGATTTTAACCAATCCTGTGTGAGTTGTTATAAATGATAAAACTCAAATATTGTTTTATTGATTTACATGATTAGCCTAGTTAATGGATATTATCAAACTGTCTGAAAGATACATGGCCTGAAGGTCTAGGGTAAATCAAACCACCAGGCGGAATATGTATAAATATATATCAATGGCTCCCAAGTTAATCCACCCTAAAATGATTGGCAGGTAATGCGAGAGGAAGTCAATAAGTAGGTCACAATGGAGTTTAAAAAAAAGGTTTTAAAAAAAAAATAAAGTCGAAAACAAGTTGAAAACATCTTATGTTTACGCATTCACTGTCTCTTGAGTTTTTAATTTTTTTTTTGCACATAATTTCTCACATTGATGCACTTATCCCATCGTTTTTTTCAGTCTTCCAAACCTGCTACATAGAACTGCGTGCTTTGTTTTCTAAACCACATTTTCACTTCATATTCAACTGTATGAATCAACCCTCACATTGTCACCTCTTTTTTCTCTTAAGAAGTTCAAGAGGTCTCCATGGCAAAGTGGTCAAACCATATGCCCCCGCGCTCTGAAAGTCGGGAGTTCGTTTAACGTTTAGTTCACGAGTGGAATTTGTACTGAGATCTCTTAAAATCGTCGCCGGAGTTACGGATGTTGTGGTCTGTGCGACGCTCTCGGCGGTCAGCTTGTTCTTCTGCTGTGAAAGACTGAACTCAGTGCATTGAAGTCAACTCCCCCCCCCCCCCCCCCGTTTACTTCACCTATGAAGTAAAGGCGGCCGATTTAAATTTATCCATATCACACACCGACTAATACACACCATGAAAATAGGCGTAGCCTGACACATCTGACGCGCCAGATGCAGGACAATGGGTCCTTTGGCGAATTGTTGTATATTAATGTTACCGACGGTACAGTCTACAAAAATACAAGGATTTGAAATAGTCACTTCATATCATATTTCTAACCTAGTTTGTTTGTTTTAGTATCCAGAAGCCATAAGTTGTTAACCCTTAGGCTCGGTATTATGAATATCGCAACCTTTCGGCCTTGATTTCATTGTAAATACCGTAAATCTGGGAGAAAATGTGGCTTTCCTGCCTACCCCCGGGATTGAACCCGGACCACAAGGAGTTCGTCGCCCGGTCTCCACGCAATCCGGTTTAGCCAACTACGCTAGAGAGCCGGGCTATTTCTAACCAAGAAAGACAAAAAACTATATTAATCAAATGTATGCATTACTATGTAATGTGTTGTCTGTGTTTTAATTCGTGCTTTACTAAAGTAGCGTTGTTCTTTAGTATAATCCGATTATTTATTCCGTGCATACATTCCACAACATACACATACACTTGTTTATTTGGGTATCTTATATTAACGCACATAGCATCATGTGGTGAGACTGAAATATGAGAAGTATCCAGGATATGTCACACCACGGCTGGTTATGATTAATTACCTTCTACTTAAAATGTGCATATTGTGTATCCCTTAAACAAAATTAAACAAAATTACAAAAAAATGTATTCACTCTTGTAACATTAAATAACGAGGGTGGCTGTATTATGACCAAAACAGAATATTCCATCTGTGAAACAAAGCGTATCATCCAAACCGGTATGACCTTCATCATTTGTGTTAATTTCCAACGGTTTTTATTAAATCCCCATCGCAACCCAGGAAAGAGCTTTTCCCTTTTTTCCCGGG